AACATATATTGCATTATTTGTTTCAGAGGTACAGATCTGAGATTCAACAGTCTTGCACAATTCACAGCGCTTACCAGAGCACATACCCTCCCCAGTGTATAAACACCTATCTTTAAAAAAAATTCCTCACTTTTCTCCTAGACTCTTCCCATTTTTCTCCAAAGACAAAAAAGAACATCATTTCATACTGTTATGTCCCCTTCTCTATACTCTATACACCAAAATCCAACCTCAGTCAAGGTTGATAAATGTTAAGAAGGGTGCTAATGGTATGTTTCAAAGTGGGATTAGGCAAAACAAAAACCTAGTACAATTAAGTACCCAAAAGTTTCCTTTAGACTCTCCAACCTATTTTCTCATTAAGTACCATTATTCAATAAAAATAAGCTTATTTTTAGATTATTTCTTCATATGTGAAATGGAGGGTAGAAAATGCTAACCTTTACCTTTGGGTTATGAAATCACAAATAATGACTGTACAGTGCATAGTATACAGAGCACAGCACAGGGCTTAGCATAGTAGCTACTATTACTACTCAATATTTTTTATCCCTATGCTGCTTACCAGTATTGGGTGAGTACTATTTCCCACTATTTTTATATAGCAAAGTTCAGGGGCGCCTGGGTGGCTCAGTTAAGCATCTGCCTTCGGCTCAGGTCAGGATCCCAGGGTCCTGGGATGGAGCCCCGCATCGGGCTCCCTGCTCAGCAGGAAGCCTGCTTCTCCCTCTCCCACTCCCCCTGCTTGTGTTCCTTCTCTTGCTGTATCTCTGTGTCAAATAAATAAAATCTTAAAAAAAAAAAAAAAAGTTTAAATAGTTTCTTTATGAGCTGTTAAGGAAGTACACTCACAAATAAGTTGCATTACAGAAATACATATTGAAGTTATGGACCTCTTCTGATTTTAAAAGGCCAACAACAGTAAAAGAGAGAGGAATTCTAAATGTGCAGACTCTAGGAATGCCAACTGAAAGCTTGCTTACCTTGTCGTTGAATACCCGCAGACTGTCTAAGGTGTGCAGGTTTTGTTCCAGAAGCGCGGTACCTGCTGAGTACAAGCTGACCTCATCGAGCTGTAGCACAGCCACTGCGACCCAAAAGAGGGCTTTGTGCAGAGGGGAGTCCTGGCAAAGGTCACGCATTCCAGATTAGCGAGATGAACTACAAACAGTCTCGTTCAAAACACATCACAGTATAAAACAAAGCACCTTATCCCCCAAATTATGCATGCTTTCTCTTTTTTTTTTTTTTT